TGCAAAAAAAACACATGCTTATGCAGAGTTCCCGCATCCATATGCGGAGTTCCCGCATTTGTACATCTCTTCATCTTCTTCGTGCTTGTAAAGGGCAAATTCAATCATCTTCGTGAGGTCTTTACCATCCACACCTGCACATAGCAACTGATGGGACTTCTCCAAGCAATCCTCAAAGAATTGCTTAGCGACGCCCATAGAACTACCCGTAGATGATAAAAGTGATAATATCAGACGTATATAATATGGTTTTATGGGTTCAAAGTACTACGAATCATGACAACAGCAACTCTCGAGTTTAGGCGTTCGGAATTCGGCTTAGGGTATATGGTTTAGGGTTTGGGGTGCGGGGTGTAAGGCTGTTTTCATGTTGCGGGAGTTTCAGCGAGCAGGTATAGACAAGGAGACCTGAAGCCAAAGACCCGAAACTCTCCACCCCGAACCCGGACAGCCCGCGTGTAGCCCTAAAACCAGCAGTCGGATTCCAGGAACCCAAAAATTACCCTTCACCCTCAACCCTACGCCCCAAAACCCAAAACCCTAAACCAAAAACCCTCAACCCCGAACCCGAAACCCCTGAACCGGAAACCCCTTAACCCCAAAACCCTAAGCCCCAAAACCCAAAACCCTAAACCCAAAACCCTCAACCCCGAACCCTACACCCCTGAACCGGAGACCCCTTAACCCCAAAAACCCTAAGCCCCTGAACCCTAAACCCTAAACCCTAAACCCTAAACCCTAAACCCTAAGCCCCTAAGTGCTCTGCCCCAGATGAGGAGGGACCCCTGCAAGGGACCCTTGATTCCCCTACAGAACCTAGGGTTTAGGGTTTAGGGTTTAGGGTTTAGGGTTTAGGGTTTAGGGTTTAGGGTTTAGGGTTTAGGGTATGTACCTGCTACAGCCCCATATACCCAAGTAGCCCCTAAGTACCCTCTGAATAACCCCCGAGGTCCCTTATAAGGGTCTTTCCTTTCGTCCCAGGACCCTAAATCCGCAACCCCTCAGCCCCTAAACCCCAAAAAACCCCGAAGGTACTCTTCAAGACTCTGCAGGTGTGGCTCGTAAGAAAACCTTAAACCCCTTAAAAAAGGGGAACAAGGGTCTACTCCGGGTCCTAGCCCTAAACCCTAAACCCTAAACCCTAAACCCTAGACCCTAAACCCCTAAAAAAAGGGATTAAGGGCCCACTCCTGAGTTCTCTTCAAGTCACTGCAGGAGCTGCCTCTCCTCGGCGGGCGTCATGGGCGCCGCAGACGACGAGCCCCTGAGCCGGACCGCAGCAGCCGCCGCAGCCTTTCGCGGTTCTTGAGGGTTGGGATTTGGGGTTTGGGGTTTGGGGTTTGGGGTTTAGGGTTTAGGGTTTAGGGGTTTAAGGGTTTAAGGGTTTAAGGGTTTAAGGGTTTAAGGGTTTAAGGGTTTAAGGGTTTAAGGGTTTAAGGGTTTAAGGGTTTAAGGGTTTGAGGGTTTGAGGGTTTGAGGGTTTGAGGGTTTAAGGGATTAAGGGATTAAGGGATTAAGGGATTAAGGGATTAAGGGATTGGGGTTTAGGGTTGAAGGTCTAGGGTTGAAGGTTCAGGGTTTAGGGTCTAGGGTTTAGGGTTTGCGGATTAGGGTTGAGAAGCTAGAGGTCTAGGGTTTAGGGCTGAGTGTTAAGGGGTTTAGGGTGCAGGGGTTTTCGAAGATTTTAATGTTAGGGGTGTAGGGTTTAAGTTAGAGCACCCTCATGGTGATCCCTCAGCCCTAAACTCTAAACCCTTCGCCCTCAACCCTCAGCCCTGAACCCTAAACCCTAAACCCTACACCCTAAACCCTAAACCCTAAACCCAAAACCCCAAACCCAACTCCCCATCTTGACCGATCATCCAGGATGCCTGCGTCAGGGCGATGTGCCAGTCGATCGCCTGCCCGGAACCAACGTGGCCGGAATTTCTAAGGGTAGTTACATAGGGTTTAGGGTTGGGGTTTAGAGTTTAGGGTTTAGGGTTTAAGGTTTAGGGTTTAGGGTTTAGGGTTTAGGGTTTAGGGTTTAGGGTTTAGGGTTTAGGGTTTAGGGTTTGGGGTTTAGGGTTTAGGGTTTAGGAATATACCCTAAGAGTACAAAGGAATCCTTGGTATGATTTAAGGCATATTCCTTCACTAAGGGATACTGGCCTCTTCGTATTCGGGGCTAAGGGTGTGCATCTTGCTGTTCGTGAACCTGAGACCAGGGTTCAGGGCTTTAAGGTTCAGTGCTTGCTTCTCTGTGGGCAACAGCCTAGCACCTTGCCTTCCCATCTTGCCAAACCCGTCCTTGTTTTGGGGGATTCGGGTTTTGGGTTGCGGGATCCAACCCTAAACACTAAGCCCTAAACCTTAAATCCTAGACCCTCAGACCTAGGGATACCATAAGAGGCCTAAGTCTCCTGAACCCTAAACTCTAAACCCTAAAACCCAAAAACCCTTTACCCCATGCTTTTTTTAGGCCTCTGCCAGTGAGAGGGTGCGCCCTGTTCTGATCGTGAAGGAGCTCCACGATATTTGCACGAAGTACCTCGGTAGGAGGGTTTAGGGTTTAGGGTTTGGAGTTCAGGGTTCAGGGTTCAGGGTGTACCCCTAAACACCTAAATCCCTTAGGCCCTAAACCCTACATCTGTGGCGGACAGGCAACCTCACCGTTCCATTGCCAGAGTGGCACGCATAGATGCCTGGGTTGCAGGCTCGGAAATTTGCGGCTTAAGAATGCGGGGTTGTAGGATTTAGGGTTTGGGGCTTAGCCCTTCGGGCTTAGGGTTTAGGGTTTAGAGCTTAGGGTTGAGAAGTTTAAGGTTTAGGTGTTAGGGTTCAGGGTCAGCCAAAGCATGGGCCCTCTACCTGGTACGTACCCTACCTATAGGGATGATACAGTTGACCCTAAACCCCAAAACCCTAAACCCCAAACCCTAAACCCTGAACCCTAAACCCTAAACCCTAAACCCTAAGCCCATAAACCAGCTCATGCCAACCCAAGCCCTCAACTATGAAACCACAGGCTATTTAGGGGGATTCAAGGTTTAGGGTTTAGGGTTTAGGGTTTAGGGTTTAGGGGTTTAGGGGTTTAGGGGTTTAGGGGTTTAGGGGTTTAGGGGTTTAGGGTTTAGGGGTTTAGGGGTTTAGGGGTTTAGGGGTTTAGGGGTTTAGGGGTTTAGGGGTTTAGGGGTTTAGGGGTTTAGGGGTTTAGGGGTTTAGGTTTAGGATCTCAAGCCCTGGAGTGCCCTCAAAGCTGCACACCCTGAGGGGTTTAGGGTTTGGGGTTTAGGGTTGAGGGTTTAGGTTTTAGGGTTTAGGGTTTAGGGTTTAGGGTTTAGGGTTTAGGGTTTAGGGTTTAGGGTTTAGGGTTTAGGGTTTAGGGTTTAGGGTTTAGGGAGGGGTTCAGGGCTCATGGCTCAGGGCGGTTTCGTGGTTGAAGGCGTGGGCCACAAGACCCCGAACCCGAAGAACCCCTCAACTACCCTAAACCCTCAACCCTGAACCCTAGGGTTTAGGGCTTAGGGTTTAGGGCTTTGGGTTTAGGATTTCAACCCTGAACCCTAAAGCCTGAACCCTCGTCCCCGAACCCTAAACCCTCAACTCGAGGCGTTCTGTTCTGCTGCGTGGCTCTTCTGTTGCGTCGTCATGCGCTCCTGCTGCCTGCGACGGCGGCAGTGTGTAAGAAGTGCTGCACCCCGCGAAAACCCAGATCCCCTCGATTGGGGGGCGCGGGTTTTTTTAACTTAGGGATTTGGGGGTCTTTGAGGTTAGGTCCTGAAGTCTTTAGGGTAAGTTGTTTTAGGGTTTTGAGGGTATAGGGTTTTAGGGTTTAGGGTTGAGGGTTAAGGTTTAGGGCTGAAGGTTTAGGGTGTGGGGTTAGCTTAGGGCTTCCCATCTTCCAGGTTTGGGGTTTCAGGATGTAAGCCCTAAAGCCAACACCCCTCTAAGCCCGAAACCCCTAAGCCCCCGAAGCTCTAAACCCCCTAAGCCCTGAACCCTAAACCAAAACCCTAAACCCTCAACCCTAAACCCAAAACCCTAAACCCTAAACCCTAAACCTAAACCTAAACCCTCAACCCTAAACCCTAAACCCTAAACCCTAAACCCGAATCCGGCCCCGGCCTCTTGTCAGTTCCCGTCCTCGCCGCGCGGCGGCTATGATCCCATGCCTGGTCCCAGAGGGCCCAACACTGTGTTGGGGTTGAAGGGTTTAGGGTTTCGGGTTTAGGGGGTTTAGGGTTTAGGGTTTAAAGTTTAGGGTTTCGGGTTTGGGGCCTAAACCCCAAACCCAAAACCCTAAAACTTTAACCCCTACTTTTAGGACTGGCAAGTTCAGGTTGGGGATGGCGCTTCTTTCTGAATAGATTGCTTCATGGGGTGTAGGGGCCTTCTAGGGTTGCGGGGTTTAGGGCTTGCGGGGTTCAGGCTCTAAGGTGTTAGAGAGAGTCCTGGCTCGTTGCAGCGAGGGGTCTGGGCATTCCCGACACTCGACATGTTTAGGGCTTAGGGTTTAGGGTTTAGGGTTTAGGGTTTAGGGTTTAGGGTTTAGGGGCTTTCATCCACCAGGCAGGAAAGAACTGCAAGGAGAGGTCAGGACGCTAAGGCTTGTTACATGGTCCCTTAGTATGGGCCCTTCAAAGGGGGCCCATATACCCTATACAAACGAGGGGCCCATACATCAGAACCTAAAGGAGGTTAGGGACCATATTAAGGGCCCATGAAACTACCCTCAGAAGGACTGGATTCTAACTTGCCTCCCTAAACCCTAAACCCTAAACCCTAAACCCTAAACCCTAAACCCTAAACCCTAAACCCTAGTCAACACTGCTTCCGGCGATGCCCAGGCACAAAACTTGTTTTCATGGACTCAGGGCGGCTCTCTTCAATCCGAAGAGGAAATCCTATGACAAAATGCGAACGATCAACGGTTAAGGGTTTAGGGTTTAGGGTTTAGGGTTCAGGGTTTAGGGTTCAGGGTTTGGGGTTATGCAAACACATCAGACGGCGGACAATGCTCACTCACCAGAGTTGTACTTCTCGAGGAATGCCATGGCCAAGTCGACTCCTTCTTTAATGGCCGAGCGATTGTCTTCAACGTTGGTATCCACACGCGTCATAAAGCCGTGACTCATTGTGCTTCGCGCCAGCGAGAATTGTACCTCTGGGACGTTCTCATTCTCCTGGAGGGCCTTGTGGGCAGCTCCATCAGGCTTCCAGTTGTCCGATTCTTGCTTGGTGGCATGCATCAGTTGGGGCCGCTTGCAGGTCCGGCAAAGCCCCACGTCGTCGCGTCCGAAAGCAGTCTTCTCCAGCAGCTCTGATGCAGGGTGAAAGTGGATCCCGCACGTCACGTGCTCCGCGATCGCATCGTCATTGCACGCCTTCCTCGGCCCGAAAAAACCCTAAACCCTAAACCCTAAACCCTAAACCCTAAACCCTCTGAAAGCATATTCCTGAAGATGATCCGCTTAAACTCAAGAAAAGAAATTCAAAAGGTCCCAAGAACCCTAAACCCTAAACCCGAAACCCTAAACCCTAAACCCTAAACCCTAAACCCTAAACCCTAAACCCTAAACCCTAAACCCTAAACCCTAAACCCTAAACCCTACCCAGCTTCATGATGATCCAAGAGCCGTAGCAGAAGCCCAGCATGGCGAACTTCTCCACTCCTTTTGACGGTTTAGGGTTTAGGGGTTTAGGGGTTTAGGGGTTTAGGGGTTTAGGGGTTTAGGGGTTTAGGGGTTTAGGAGTGTAGGGGTTTAGGGGTTTAGGGGTTTAGGGGTTTAGGGGTTTAGGGGTTTAGGGGTTTAGGGGTTTAGGGGTTTAGGGGTTTAGGGGTTTAGGGGTTTAGGGTTTAGGGTCTAGGGTTTAGGGTCTAGGGTTTAGGGTTTAGGGTTTAGGGTTCCGCACTCCTTTTGACCGCAGGTATGGGATGAGCTGGTCTTTGCAAAGGCACTCGAGGTTCCCATCCCATGGGTAGCGCTTCATGAAGGATCTTCCATTCCAGATGAAGCCAATAATGAGATTCCAGGTGAAGATGTTGCAGCCTTTGCAGCCCAGGCAACCATTAGGGTTTAGGGTTTAGGGTTTAGGGTTTAGGGTTTAGGGTTTAGGGTTTAGGGTTTAGGGTTTAGGGTTTAGGGTTTAGGGTTTAGGGTTTAGGGTTTAGGGTTTAGGGTTTAGGGGTTTCAGTATAAGGGCACCCCTTCTGTAAGTTGGTTACTTGATAAGGGAGCCTTGAACCCCAAAAAAGGGAAAAGGGTAACCACTGGGCCACCAAGAAGCCCAACTGGTTCGGCTTGTCGTCTTCCTCGCATTAAACCCTAAACCCTAAACCCTAAACCCTAAACCCTAAACCCTAAGCCCTAATTCCTAAAGCCCTAAGCCCTAAGCCCTAAACCCTAAACCCTAAACCCTAAACCCTAAACCCTAAACCCTAAACCTAAACCCTAAACCCTAAACCCTAAACCCTAAACCCGTCGTCTTCCTCGCCGTATTGCGGGATCAAGCCCCCCGAGCCCTCGAAGGGGTCGGGCAGCAGCGCGATGCCGCCGGTCCGGGCGGAGAACTCGTCAGCCAGCTTCCGATGCCTTTTCTCCCCTTAGAGGTTTAGGGTTTAGGGTTTAGGGTTTAGGGTTTAGGGTTTAGGGTTTAGGGTTTAGGGATTAATCTTAATCCCTGTTCCCCAAGGAGGAAAAAAGGATCCTCTTTGTTCATCTATAAGAAAGCCCATAACCCAAAAAGTAAAAAGGATCCCTAACACTGATCTAGTAATATCCTCTTGGGTTTCATATGAACAAGAAAAATTAAAAAAAACAAAAAAACAATTCCCAAGGGGGGATATAGATGCATCCCACTGAATGGACCAAAGGAGTCGCTCCACATGACGAGGACGGGACCTGTGGGGGTTTAGGGTTTAGGGTTTAGGGTTTAGGGTTTAGGGTTTAGGGTTTAGGGTTTAGGGTTTAGGGTTTAGGGTTTAGGGTTTAGGGTTTAGGGTTTAGGGTTTAGGGCCTTTGTCCCTCCAGGTCTCATCCGTCGAGGCGGCCCCAACCACGTAGAGCTTGCAGCTGGCGGAGCGCGACGCGACGCCCGGGAGCTCAAAGTGCTCTCCCTTCGGCTTGTAGTCGAATTTCCTATACTCCCCTTGGAACCTTCATAAAAAAATATTCTTAGTATCCCCTTGGGTTTTAAGAGTTTAGGGTTTAGGGTTTAGGGTTTAGGGTTTAGGGTTTAGGGTTTAGGGTTTAGGGTTTAGGGTTTAGGGTTTAGGGTTTAGGGTTTAGGGTTTAGGGTTTAGGGTTTAGGGTTTAGGGTTTAGGGTTTAGGGTTTAGGGTTTAGGGTTTAGGGTTTAGGAAAAAAAAGTAATTCCCAAGGGGGATATAGTTTCAAGGCCGGCAAGGCATCGGGAGGGCAGCAGGGGCTGGCCATGGCGTTGTGATGCAGTGAAGAATACTAGACTTGCTCGACCCAAGAGGAAGCTGGGAATCAAAAGGGTGCCTAAAGCCTAAACCCTAAACCCTAAACCCTAAACCCTAAACCCTAAACCCTAAACCCTAAACCCTAAACCCTAAACCCTAAACCCTAAACCCTAAACCCTAAACCTAAACCCTGATTGAAGGTATATTTCGGGTCCTAGAATAAGAAGAGGATGAGGATGATGGCAACGTCGAGGAGCAAGCGAGGGAAGATCCAACAGATCTCTCCAGTTTAGGGTTTAGGGTTTAGGGTTTAGGGTTTAGGGTTTAGGGTTTAGGGTTTAGGGTTTAGGGATACCCCACGACTGAACTGACAAAAGCCTATTTCCAACCCGCCACGATCATCGGCACAAGTTGACGCGATAGGTTTTGCCCAAAACCCTGTACCCGAACACCCGCAAACCATTAAACCTTTACACCCAAATTACGCCCTGAAACCCCTGGAACACCTGAAACCCCTGAAACCCCTCCTGAAACCCCTCCTGAAACCCCTCCTGAAACCACTCCTGAAACCCCTCCTGAAAGCCCTCCTGAAACCCCTCCTGAACCCCTAAGACCCTGGAACCCCTGAAACCCCTCAAACCCCTGAAACCCCTGCAACCCCTGAAACCCCTCAAACCCCTGAAACCCCTGAACCCTAGAACCTCATGCCTTAGACCCGCCCCCCCCCCCCCCCCCCCCCCCTCGTGGACACAGGAGCCTTGGCAGCCGCCACACCATCCTCGACTGTTGGGCCCGAGTCGGGGCTGAGGACTTCAATGGTTAAGGGCTTAGGGCTTAGGGCTTAGGGCTTAGGGCTTAGGGCTTAGGGCTTAGGGCTTAGAGATTAGAGATTAGAGATTAGAGATTAGAGATTAGAGATTAGAGATTAGAGATTAGAGATTAGGGGTTAAACAGGCAAGCCTGAACCCTGAAAACCTGCAGGGTTTAGGGTTTGGGCTTCATAGGGGTAAACCCTAAACCCTAAACCGAAACCCGGGTTTAGGGGTTGAGGGTTGTGACTTCGCAGATCTCGGGGGTTGAGGGCTGGGGATCGTAGGGTTTCGAGGTCTTCGGCTTTGGGGGCTTAGGGATCAGGGCTTTTCGGGTGGTTTAGGACTCTGAGGGTTGAGGGTTCTTGGGGTTAGGGTTGAGGGTTTAGGGTTTAGGGTTTGGGGTTTGGGGTTTCGGGTTTAGGGTTTAGGGTTTAGGGTTTAGGGTTTACCCTGACCCTAAACAGTTGAAATATGGGCTGTATGCACGTTTAAACGGTTCAAACCCTAAACCTTTACAACCTACAACCCCCAACCCCCAACCCTAAACCCTAAACCCTTAAACCCTAACCCTAAGCCTAAACCCTAAAACCTCAACCCTACACCCGAGCATGCGCTCCTCGCCCTTCCACTCTGCATCTGCCTTGATGGCCGCTTTCACAGACCTTTGCCGCGAGAAAGAACTTGGGGTTTGGGATTTCGGGTTTTAGGATTTGGGGTTGAGGGTTTAGGGTTTAGGGTTCAGGGTTTAGGGTTTAGGGTTTAGGGTTTAGGGTTTAGGGTTTAGGGTTTAGGGCTTAGGGGTTAGGGTTTAGGGTTTAGGGTTTAGGGTTTAGGGTTTAGGGTTTAGGGTTTAGGGTTTAGGGTTTAGGGTTTAGGGTTTAGGGTTTAGGGTTTAGGGTTTAGGGTGGTTTGGGTAGCCTCCTCATTCACAAAACACTAAAGGAGGGACCCTTACAAGGGACCTGAGGGGCTATTTAGGGGTTATTTGCGTACATAGGGACTAAATAAGTTACATATATATATATATATATATATATATGTATATAGACAGGGGTTATGTATGGCTATCTCCCCAAAACCTAAACTGCTTACGTCCCTACATGCCCTAAACCCAGTCGAGGTGGGGTGTAGTCCAGGGCTTCCAGTTAAGTTGGGGTGGTTTTGCAAGTCGGGTTCGGGTTTTGGGGTTGAGTTCACGGCGGTTGGGGCGAGTAGGGTTTTGGGATTTAGGTTTCGGGGGGTTTCAGTATGCTGGGTGCAGCTTAGGAGCTTCAAGAAAGGCTTGGGAGGTTTTGGGTTGCGGGGGCTTTGGGGTCGCTCAGGGGGCGTTTAGGGCTCAGGGCTCCGGGTTTTGGGTGTTTGGGTTCTTGGGGTTTTTGGCTTTTACGGTTTCAGGGTTTTAGGGTTTTTGAGTTTCAGGGATTTGGGTTTCAAGGTTTTAGGGTTTAGGGTTTCGGGTTTCGGGTATAGGGCTAGCCCCCGCACCCAAATACAGATAGAAAAGTGCACCATTGGGTTCCGCAGCCCTGAACCCCCTCACCCTCCAGCCTAGATACCTACACGCTACAAACCACCCAGATTCCCAAAAGGGTTTAGGGTTTAGGGTTTAGGGTTTAGGGTTTAGGGCTTAGGGCTTAGGGCTTAGGGCTTCGGGCTTAGGGTTTAGGGTTTAGGGTTTTTTTTAACCGGAATCGCCTGAGCGCAGCATGAGTGCTGTCCGGTCGGCAGTGAAACTTCTCTATCCACCTCTTTCCTCCTCAGTTCCACCCCACACCCCTTACCACGCTCAGGACCACCACGCGCATCCACTGCTCTTCTCGTGCTCGACCACTGGGCCCAGCCACTCACTTCCCTCCACCACCTGAAGACCCCAATCCACCAACAGTCGTAGTAGACACCGAGGACACCAGTCCACCATCGATTGTAGTAGACGCCGAGGACACCAACCCACCACCACGCGAACTCACCGGAGGCGTGGGAGCTCCAATCACCCCAGGAGTTGAAGTAGACTCCGAGGATCCCACCCCACCACCCATCGTAGTAGACACCGCCACCACCAGGCGTTGTAGTAGACCCCGAGGACTCCACCCCACCACCAGTCGCAGTAGCCGCCGAGGACGCAATCCCACCACCACCACCACTCGTGCACGCCGAAGAACTCGTCCATGAAATGGTCCCGCTCCCCAGCCACCAGGGGTTTAGGGTTAGGGTTTAGGGTTTAGGGTTTAGGGTTTAGGGTTTAGGATTTAGGGTTTAGGGTTTAGGGTTTAGGGTTTAGGGTTTAGGGTTTAGGGTTTAGGGTTTAGGGTTTAGGGTTTAGGGTTTAGGGTTTAGGGTTTAGGGTTTAGGGTCAGGGGTTAAACTGGGCCATGCCCTAAACGCCTAAACCCGAAACCCTGAACGCCTGAACGCCTCAACCCTCCCCCTCAACGCCCTAAACCCTAAACCCTAAACACTAAACCCTAAACCCTAACCCTACACCCTACACCCTATAGACCAAAAAACCCTAAATCGGGCCATGCGGCATCAGCCCTTTCTGCCCCCAGGGGCTCGTGAAGCGCAAATAGGTCTTGCCCTCTCAGGGAACCCAGGGCAAGACGACTGTAAGCCCCTAAAAGGGTTCAGGGAGGTGGGGGTTAGGGTTTCTAGGGTTTAGGGTTTAGGGCTAGGGTTTAAGGATTCGGGTTTAGGGGTTTTCGGTTTCCCCTAAGAAGCCCCAAAACCGCACCAACGCTCAGACAGAAACCCCAGGTCCAAAACCATAACCCCAAACCCTAACTCACTTGAGGAGTTTTGCTCAGGCCCGAGTGGCCCGCGTTCGCAGTTCTGTGTCCTGTTTGGGTTTAGGAAGGGTCTAGGGTTTGGGGTGCACGCTTTATGAGTTCCAGGGCTTAGGGTTTCGGGTTGAGGTCTAAGGTGTCAACCCTCAACTCCCAACCCTTCGCCCTCAACCCTCAACTCTCAACCCTAAACTTTCTAAACCCTAAACCCTAAACCCGAAACCACAGCTCTAGACCCCCAGACCCCAAAAGTCTACAGAGCTGACCCTATCGGCCTGGCAGGCGCCCGACTTGTAGGTGTGCTCGATACACTTCCAGCCTCTGGTTTTGTCGTTTTGGGGCTTGGGGTCACTTAGGGTGTAGGGTTTAGGTTTTAAGGTTTAGGCTTTAAGGTTTAGGGTTTAGGGTTTAGGGTTTAGGGTTTAGGGTTTAGGGTTTGGGGTTTGGGGTTTAGGGTGTAGGGTTGAGGGTTTAGGAACCCCTAAGCCCGAGAGCAGCCCTCAAAAGTTTACGCCCTAAAGCCTTCAAAACAACAAGGAGCGCACTCCCCAGATGCCTGAGACCCTAAACTCTAAACCCTAAACCCTACACCCTAAACCCTAAACCCTAAACCCTAAACCCTAAACCCTACACCCTAAACCCTTAACCCTTAACCCTAAACCGCCGCCTTCCGGAAGGCCCGCCGGCGCATCCACCTGGTGGGCAGCTCTACAAAGCAACCTCAGACCTAGGTACAAAAAGGGGTTTCGGGTTTAGGGTTTCGGGTTTAGGGCGTAGGTTTAGGGTTTAGGGTTTAGGGTTTAGGGTTTAGGGTTTAGGGTTTAGGGTTCAGGGTTCAGGGTTCAGGGTTTAGGGTCCGCCGACCCTGGCGGCGTGTTGGATGGGAAAAGGAGGTGAAAACCTCCCTCTTTCCCTCCAAAACGCGGGGGGGGGCTGGGGGGGGTCGGTGCACAATTTTTTCGTGGAGGACCGCACCACCCACAGTGTAAACAGGCGGTTCAGCACAGGGGGGTAGGGGCGCCCTCAGCAAAATCAGTGTTTTCGGCACCCACCCCCTCCCCCTCTGACCCCCCCCTACCCCCCCACCCCCCCCTCCCCCCCCCACACGTGTCTTTTTCTTGA